GCCTGTTTACTGAATAACAACCCATGGCTTTACTTGCTGTAAGATGTTCTACAGGTATTCAATCTATTCAAATGATGTTTGCCGGTACTTCCTTTCTGTACCCGCATCTGAAAGGAAACCGTGCCATATGTTCTTCCCCACTCTCTAAAGGCCAATCCCAGATCAATCAGGTGTACTGGGGAAGGACCAAGGTGATTCAGTCTGAATCACCTACAATATTAGACCTAGAAAACATCTCTACAAATTACCAAATGTTTTTTCAGCAGTACAAAGTTTCAACTGACACTACTGTAATGTTATGATGTGTTCAGGAAGCTGTCAGATTTTCATAAAACATGTAGGCTAATGGTATAAAATTGCCTGTTTGGGGGAGTTTCTATATTTTGCTTGCTTTTCTTGAAAAACGTAACATGTCTGCTGGCGATATCTTCAAAAATATCTTGCCAAATTGTTGAGATATAAACCAGACCCTGTGTTTGATTTAATACCGGTTTCTTTACCGATTATTGAGAGAATGACAACCAAGCCAAACCCAAGCCTTTTGCTTAATCAAGAGGAGGAATTAAACAGAAAGCGATCCTTCCGATTCTCAAAGGCCTTGTTGCCATTTTAAGCGACACTATCTGCTTCCTCTCAGCGTTCATACCTTACATCCCCCGTGGGCAGCTTGTTGACCAAAGTTTTTACATAGCATCCATGCCTGCCTAATCCAAGTTTTGCATATGATTACACCTGACCGAAACCTGACCTACTGATATTCCACCACTGGGTAGCAAATGGTGTAAATTGTTCTCCTGCAATCTCAACTGAGATTAAGCTTAAAATGTCATGAATTCCATGGATTCTTGAAGTTTGTCAACCACCTATGGCAATATCTTTGAATATAACAAGACTCTGTGAAACATTTCATGCCTGCCAAGCATTGGAAATTACAATTTCACAAATTAAAATCAGCATAATCAATCCTTTTATGAACCACTTTGGTAAGGCGTCCATCCATGTGATGTTCCCTCCCTGCGGCCGCAGCTTTGCACGCCGTTCAGAAGACCAACGTGTTCAGCCAAACCACAAACAACGGGTTCACATTCACTCACTCGGCCACCAGTGCAAGAGGGAAAAGTGAAGCAATAAATAAAATAACCTATATCTAATTTCTTTCATTTTGTGCAGATCTTCTTATGTGTATGTGTGATTATTTCCCTCTCCGGCTCTGTGTTGTCATTGGGGACCGAGGCTGTCGAGTCTGCCAAAGACCCATTCTCTGTCTGCACATAGCCAGTGTTATGCAACTGCTAATTACTTCCACTCAGCCCGAGAAAACGATGGAGAGAAAGAGAGAGAGAAAAAGGAACAAGAGGGTGAGTGAGTAATTAAATAACAGGGACGGCCAAAGAAGGGGACAGGCAAGAGGAAAGTCGGAAGGGCAGCAAGTGGAGAAAGAGAGAAACATGAGAGGAAAAAGAGACAGAGGAGTATGAGGTAAAGAAAGACAGAAAGAAAGTGGATAAGCAACGGGAGACAGAGAGAGGAGGAGAGTGTGTCTCTCTTGCAGTGTTTTGATAAGAAGAGGCAAAAAAAAAACAACATCAAATCATAATGACCTCTTCACCATCCGCCTATACAGTTTACCGAAAATCATACCGCAGCAGCCAAATTGGTCCAAAGAGAGAGAAAGGGAGAGAGAGAGAGAGAGAGAAATGTTCAAGAGAAGTGTTGTCAAAACCAGACAGGGCCTGCAGCCCTTTTCCTCTCCAACCATTTTTGGAGATGATGTCATTATTCATAGAAAAAGAAAAAGTAGAAAAAAGAAAAATGTGTCTACGCCTCTGGCTCAACTAGAGCAAAAGTAAGAGGAAAAGGTGGGAGTTTAAGGAAGGGAGCCAGAGAAAGAAAGAAATGTAGAGGAAGACATAGACAAGAGAGGAACAATAAAGGAAACAGGATAGGAGGGTTGAAGGAGTACAAAAATAGCTAAAACTCCTCATTTTACCCGCATTTTTTGGTTTACAAAATATGTCAGTATAAGCAACATTTAGAAATGAAATCAGCGTCATTACTTATTATTATAACTTGATATAAAACATTGATTTCCAGGGTTTTAGAGGTGCTAGTTAGCCGATGTAGTTACGATTTAACAGATCAAGGCTAGCTCTTTCCACTGTTTCCAGTCTTTGTGCTAAGTTATGCTAAGAGGCTAACAGGGCTGCTTATATTAAACACATGTGAAAGCTGTTTCAACATCCTCACAAAAGCTTTGCACCAATGAGAGCCCTTGGTTTTTTTAAATGGATAGAGTGAGCCCAACCCTGTCCAAGTCCAACCTTGTGGCACCGCCATGGCCTCTGCACACTGCTCTGATTTTATGCCATCACACTGCACTGAAAGTCTTGCCTCACTTCTTCTGTCCCGCCATACCACGTGTAGTTTTGTACCGGATATCTGAACATCCTGTTATAACACAATGGATCAAAACTACTGTGCAATATTATATCCATGGAGCCCTAGGCCTTGAAAGACAGCAGTTCTGAGCAGAATGCTTTGGACTTGTAACTTAACTTTTATATTTTGTTCCTCTGCAAAACATTCTTACTGTCATGCTCAGCAGCAGCTGTTTTTGTTACCCTGCTCTCCAATGCAATTCATTTGAAATGTGACCTTTTTATGGCAGTTTTGTGATATTTTCATTACATTTTCATCCATGTTAAGCATTGGAATAAGGTTTCCTATGAATAATTCCTAACCACAGGAGAATGTATGGGTAAAACCAAGGAGGTCTCAAACATTGCTGGTGATTTTAGCCCAAACATATCAAAAGGAGAGAGTGAGTGGAAGGAGAAGCATGGCTTTCAGATGACACACGACAGGAAAAAGATGAACAAATCGTTGTCAGGGACATTGACAGAGACCATCAGCTCAGTCACACTTAGACTCACCCCTCTTTTCCTCAATCTCGCCATCTATCCATCATCACTCCATTTCAGCATCACTGTAAATCACTTCATCACCCTATCGCATGTAAGATAATATATTAGCCCCCATTCATCCATCTATCCTTATCTATCTCTGCCATTGCTCTTTCTCTCCCTATCTGCTCATCTATCTCCCTGCCTTCAGGCTCTCTTCAATCTGTTAGCTCCATAATGTTTGTGTGAGTGTGTGAGTGTGTATGTGTGTCTGCTGAGATATTAAGCTATTAGACAATTTAAACAGAAAGGGAGACACATTTATCAGAGATGATACAGAGTTCTTATGTATTTTCATCTATAATATGTATTACTTTTTTCCTCTGCCATCATTAAGACTGGAAGAAAACCGTTCTCTGTTCTGTCTTTGTAAACTGCACTTTATTTGTTTCAATTATGGAAATTGATTTCTCATTGCAAGTAAAACTGTGAGCTTTTTGTCAAGTCAAAGTTGAATTTCAGGTCCCTTAGTTTCTTCACTACCCATGCAACGTCATTTGGCGACATAAGATTTGATAAATGTTTTCTTACGAAGCGTTATTTAATGTGATGGTTAGTAACTTGTGCATGAAACAATCACCAACCAGACACTTTTGATGACTCTCAAACATCTAATTAGCTCATTTTAAATTGTATTTCACATATTTAATAGATGTACAGTATAACTTGCTGCAACACAGTGACTCTGATTCTTGGATTGATTTGGAAAAAGGGACAAAAAGCACAAATTGGCTCTAAAAACATGAAAAAGTGTAGGAAAGGCTTTGAACTCCAGTCAAGAGTATGAACTAGAAGAATATGATTTTAACTCTGACACATTAAAAAAGGGGGAAAATATTTACTACAGTATTACTCAGCCATTTAATTTCCAAAGCATTCAGCAGCTGTTCGGCTGTTTCACATGCAACTAAATTTCACTTGCTATGAAATCTTTGTTTAAGACATTTATTTTTTGTTTACTTGTCTTTTTTGTTGAGAATGGATCTACCTACACATTTGCTTTTCCTAAATCAGGGTTAAAATAATTACTGGATACAGAACATTTGACCAGATCTCACATGCCTTGATGATTTGTCTCCCAAAGAGTATACGTGTGTTTGTGTATGTGTGTGGCCTCTCAGTATGACATGTCTGTTTAACAGGCATTACTAGGCAGTCTGAGCATTTTCATTAGTTCCTAGAACGCCAAACAAACCACATGGGTATGTGAAGCAGCTGCAGTACTAGAGAGCTACAACAAGCTGGCCGGGCAAGAGAGAGAGAGCGTGCCCAGACTAATCTACAGTGTGAGGGAATATAAGTGGGTCGAAGTGCACACATCTGCCCACCAGCTTGCTTCTGTGTGTGTGTGTGTGTGTGTGTGTGTGTGTGTGTGTGTGTGTGTGTGTGTGTTTCATTCCCTGCAGTTGCATCAAAGCCTGCTCACTAGTGTGTGTTTGTGTACAAATAAGAGAGTCAAAAGCAGAAGATCTCAGTTTGAGTCCCTGTTGACTTTTGTATGAAGTTGTGTTTATGTGCATGCAGTCCATAAACAAAAATACTGTTTAATGCAAATAAGTGTAATTACAAGCTGTGCCTTATGTAAAGAGTTCCCACAAGTTGTTACAATTCAATGGCACACTTTGTGAAATTATAAAAAAAATGTTGATGGGGATACAACAGCTGTATTTCTTGAAGAAAATACAAAACCATTCCTTGTTGTATCTCAGCACACTCATTTTGTCACATTCTTTAAGATCACTTGAGCAAATTAAATTTGCACGGTTGTATCAACTAGAATCTCAAATTCCCACAAGTTCATTGACAATTTGGAAATGTTCCAAAACAACTATTAGTCATGGCAAACAACAAGTTCAAATCTCATAACCCTTCAGGAGGAACTCTGTAACCGTGGGAACCCTGCCAGTGTGTTCACATGGTGACATCATGTCTCTGCAGCCAGAGGTTGAGCTAATAGTGAATCACTAATAAAAACAGATCACAACCTTTTGTCCTCATTTACTTCCTGGTTGTTTGTGTGTGTGGCGTGTGTCCTACCTGACAACAGGCTCTGGGATGGCCTCCAGGCTGGCAGGGACCTGCACCCCCTTCTCCCACTCCTGTCTCCACGGGTCCGAGAGCACGTAGAAATCACCCGGGCCGAGCTGGGCCGAGTCCGGCACCTTCATGGCCGTGATGAAGTCAGTACGAAATACCTGCATACAGAAAAAAACATAAGAGGAGAGGGGAAGATAGAAAAGTTTGGTTAAATGGTCAAACAACTATATGAAAATTGATGAATCAGTTTGCCTAATCTTTTAAGAAGTCAACATTTTCTAAATCTTTAAAGGTCCCATGACATGGCCATTTCTACTGATCATAATTCCATTGTTGAGGTCTGCTAGAATTGATTTACATTGTTCAATTTTCCAAACTTACATTGGTTTCTCATACAGCATCTCTGTATAGTATGTGTATTCACTCTCTGTCCTAAACGCCTTGTTGGAGCTCCTGCCCCACCCCCCTCCCTATGAGCCCACTGTGCTCTGATGTATGTTTATGTGTTACAATGGCATTTGTTAGCAACCAGAAAATGACACCAGCAATGACAAACAGATGAGAATGCTGCGTGGGGTCTGGGTGCCGTGTTGGCGGGACGTTGCGGGGCTCGCTGCTGCGAGGAGCGGACAGTGTGAGCTGGATTACTGGTGTTGTTTCCTGGCTGCTGCGTGGGGTCTGCGAGACAACGAGACACAGCGAAACCCAGCCCGAGCACACACACCCGCAGCCTCCCCGCGACCCGCCGTCTCAGGCTGAGAAATCCGCGGAGCTGCAGCTGAGAAAAGATTGAGTATGTGTGTGTGAGGAAGTCCGTGGATTGGTCCAAACGTAACGGCTCCGCGCACGTAACGTAACTATACCCAATACGTCACTGTACCCAGGAAGAAAAAGAAAAATCTCCAACGTTCAGGCGTTCTGGGGCAGCATAGACAGGTCTTTTCTGTGTTAGAGTTGTACTCGCTACAGGGTGTACTACTTTGAGGGTTTGTGACTCTTCAAACCGTTTACATGCAGAAAAAGCTACATAACACACAAGGGGACGGGTAATAACCGGAAAAGCATGACATGGGACCTTTAAAATATTAATATTTTCTGGTTTCTTTAATTCACTTCAACAGTAAACTCAATATATTAGTTGTGGACAAAACAAGATTGTAGACCCCCGATTTGAGACATTTTATAGGCCAAACAAAAACAATTGTTAAACTGAGAACATATTGACCAATCACCACCAGCCACTTTATAAGGGGTTACTGACAAAAAACAAACTTGATCCTGCATTATTCCATAGTTCATGTTAAACATGAATCCACTATAAGCGTCGGTGTAACATTGGAGGTGACGAATAAATTGAACAGATGTGGAAAGGCTCTGAGTAGCATTCATCTTGCAAAGCCTTAATCCCCTCATTGTGCGGTGTTGACTAGATCCATATCTACGGCTTGCTTAGGTAATAACTTGTCATTGCCTCGGTTCGATTGAGTGGTTTTCATCTGCGGTGTTCCTGACCTTCATGCAAATGTATCAGTTTTCTTTTGGGGGGTTTGTCTGTCATCGTCTCATGGCTTTAGATGCAAAAGTGTTTCCTCTATCCTCACATATCTTTCAATATCATCTTTTCTTCACATCTTATATGAAGGGGACTAGGATGTGAGGAAAAGACGCAAGTGAGGAGACTCCAGAGACAAATGAGACCAACAACCTACTGCCAGAGGAAGTGGAGCGATGAAGAGGAAAAGGAAGGAGGAAGTAGCAAGTGGATAAGCTGAAGTGCTGTGGTCACGGTTACCATTAAACAAATTGTTGATGTTAATCTGGAGACCTATACAGGTTCAAATACTGTATACACTGTATATAATGATAGCAAATTGAGTATGTAGGAGGATTGGATAGAAACAAACAAGATGGGTTTGTGTGTGAGGCAGCGTTTTGATGACCTGAGGGAGTGTGTGTATTCAAGCAGACACAATCATTCTCAAACATAATGTGAGCATACACACTTCTATCACACACACATCTAACACACACACACACACACACACCCATACAAATACAGTCTCTGTCTGTCTGCTCTAACTGCGACCTAAAGCAATGATATTATCAGTCATATAGTCAAGGACATCTGCCAAGAACACACACAGCACACACACAAACACACACACACACACACAAAAGCAAGCAACACACACACACAGAGAGGAAAACAAGCAACACACACAATGGTGCCAAATCAACCGTATAACTTCACTTTACATTTTATCATTAAATCTTAAGCCTCCTTATCCCTGCTTTATTAGCTCTTCTCCGCCATCCGACTCCCTCGCTCCCTCCCTGCCTCTCCATTAACCTCTCCATATTCTCTCCCTCGCTCCCTGACCTAACTTACACAAAGAAGAAAAATAGTCAAAGGGATTTCTAAGAAGAAAAACACGGTAATAAGAGAGAAATAGAAGAGGGGCACGCGGTGAGGGGGCGGAATTAAAGGAGCTGTTATGAAGAAAAATCCACCAACAAGTAAGCACGAAGGAAACTGATGGAAACAGAGAGAAGGTTAATTGAATTTTTCTAAACCTAATGTGAGAAATTCAACATTGTTCTCTAGAAATGTTCTTTGCTGAATGACACATTTCTCTATGCATTATTATTAAAGGTTTTAAAGAATATTTGAGTCTGTTAGGGTCAAATGTTTGTTGTACAAAACTAAGAAGAACACTAAATGGTAATGTCATTCGTGGTGCAGATATTGGGTCATTATCAAAAAAAATAAGAAAGATTTTACATTTGACTTGATGGTGGCAAGTTATTTATACTGATATAGACCTAAATAAACTGTACCAAATTTCATTTTTATGCATCCAATAGCGGTTGACACATTTCACTCAAAACTAGAAAAAGGTCTACCTTGTGTTGGCACTTGTGAAAAAATGAAAAAGATTACCAAATTAGCTGGGTATGCTAGCTTCGATCGTTTGTTAACGCAAAAAACGAAAAACAATATTTGATGTGATATTAGATGAATATTAGATGAAATTGATGTGAAACAACAGATGAACTGCAATCAGGAAATGTAATCTTATTAGCAGATATGCCGATTGCTGATACCAATTACGTTTTGTAACACTTCAAGAGTCTGCATGCTATTTGCTTGAGAGTTTAACAGTAATGCAGCCATAGATACAAAAAGAGACAGAAAGGCATTAAGAGAATGTATGTCAACAGAGAAGGAGCTGAATTATTGCCTTTACTCCCACTTTCAGACTGGACTGCTGGAAAGAAATGAGAGGAGGAAGAGGAGAATGATGTTTAACCAAGTGAAGAGGGAAGAGGGAGGACAAGATGAGGAGAAAGGAAACAGAGAAGACAAATCACTAAGGATGTGAGGAATGAGAGAAAGGAGTGATATTAATTTGAGAGGAAAGAGAGATGAGAGACAAGGACAGACGAGGAGGAAACTGGAGTGTGTGTGTGTGTGTGTGAGTGTGAGTGTGTGTGTGTGTGTGTGTGTGTGTGTGTCAGAGCACTATATGAATAGACCATATGTAAAAGCAGCATCCTTGCTTCTGCTGTTGGCTCTCTACTGTCTGCAAGCCAGGACAACATAATAATGCAATATAGAGTAAGTCTGTCTGTCTGTCTGTCTGTCTGTCTGTCTGTGGTTTTTATGTGCATGAATAAGTGTTGAAAAGTGTGTGTGAGTCAAGGCCCTGATTAATCGTGCCTTCCCCTTCAGCATTACGAGGGGAGAACGGACAGAGGGCGATCCACTCCTCCTCAATCTTTCTCTCTCTTTCTTTCTCTCCATTCACCCACAGTGTCTTGCTTTATCTTCATACTTGCATATACAAGTGAAAACAAAAGAAAGGAGAGGATAAAGGGGAAGTGAGAAGAAGAAAGGAGGTAAAAGAGGAGAGGCAATAGGAAATTACAAGAATAGAGGAGAAGGGATGAAAGGAGAGGAACAAGGAAGAGGAGGAAAAGGGTTAGAAGTAGTTTTGAGAGGCAGAGGGAGAAGAAGAGAGGTGAAGGAAGAGGCTAGAGAAAATTAGGAAAAGGAAGAGAAAAGGGGAGAGAACAGAAAAAAGGATGGATGAAAAGTCGAAGGAAAAGTAAAAGAGATGAAACGGGAGGAGAGGAAAGAATGAGGAAGAGAATAAGATGTGAGAAGCAAAAAAGAGGAGAGGATCTCAGTAAATCAGTTTTATGGCCGTGTGTTTGTGCAGGATTGACTGGAGCTAATTAATGTGTAGGAAACTATTACAAGCTCCTGCAGTTTTATGTCCTTGTTTCTCTCTCTCTGCAGCACATCCACCGCCCGCCCTTTTCATCCTCCAACTCTTTTTGTGACCGTTATGCAGTGATGGGTGACAGGCAGACAGATGGAAGAGAAGTGTTATATAACAGATTAGATAGATCCAGTGCGTTGGTTCTGGTTTCCCCACATCTTCAGAACCACTCGAGGATCCTTAACCTCCTGATCAACGTGTAGTAAATGGCAATGAAGTGGCTAATCCTGGGTTTTAAACTTTCTGAAGCCACATGAAGTCAGGGGGCGGTGTACGACACACATTTCCAAAACGCATGTTCAAAAATGCCGTTTAATTCCGCTTAAAATGTATGATTTATTAAACAATAAACTCTGGTTGACTTTCTAGAAAACAAATAAATCCCAAATCCAAATATCACTATTGTTATCAGGTAATCCTCGAAAATACAGCTGCAAAATAATGTGCCAAAAATATGTAAATCAATGTGCCAGATAATGACATTTACTATAGAATAAAGCGTCAAATAATGTGGTCTGAATACTGTAGACCAGGGCTATTCAATTGGCGGCCCGCGGGCCAAATCCGGCCCCGGGGTGATATTTACTGGCCCTTTGAGTATAATGTTAAAAAGTAATCAATTTTTTTTTTTAAGATTTTTTTTTTTTGTGCCATAATGCCTTTATTCCAGAGAGGGTGTTACATTGAGAGATAGAGGGGTAGACAATGCCTGAAAACTTCGACGGGCTCGGGTTTCGAACCCACCTACTATACTGTAGTGACAACTCCTGTCATTGATTGCATCTCTGCGTGAATGATTAGATCATTTCACCTAAATGAAATCAAATGAAACATGTAGGCCTACTGAGTTCTGAACTTGCCATTTAGATCTA